TAGCTTACTTGTTCAACAACTCGGTACGTTGCAATGGACCCATTTTGCGCCATTCTGAATCTCGGTGGAATGCTTTTTTGGCTGCCTTTACAGCAATGTCAACATCGGCCTGGCAACAAAAGAAAGTTTACAATATTTTCTCTTCATTTTGTGATTTTAAGAATTCAAATTGATTGCAGTTAGTTTTTTTAAATTAATATACATTATAATTTTATTTTTAAACATATTGAGTGTTGATAATGTTTTATTTACCTTATCACCTTCAGCAACCTCAACGATTACTTTGCCAGTTGCTGGATTGATGGCTGCAAATTTTTTGCCTGAGACCGAATCAACAAATTCATTGTTGATAAAAAGCTAAAATTAAAATAAAAAATTTTTTATCAACAACAAAAATTAATAAAAAAAAATTATCATCAACAATAATTAATAAAAAAATGATTATTATTAGCAATAATTAAAAAAAAATTATTATCAACAATAATTAATTTTTTAAACAATTTATGATATGTTATATATGTCTTAGATTCTTATTGTTTTCTCTATTAAGATTTGTTTTTATTGTACAATAATTATATGTAGTCAATTATCAATTGGTTCTAATAGAAGAACCTCAACTGAGTCACTGACGCTCAATAATAATAGTCATTAATTAGTACAAATATTAAAGGAAGATTTATACTAGATTTAGTGTATAATTAGTTTACAATCGATTCTGAAGATGTCTAGTTTCCAAGAACGGTCGGGTCTACGTCCCGGAGCCACTCGTCACCTACGACGACCAAGTACCGTTCAACACCTCCCAAAGGGACTCCACAAGCAGGTCCCGGCGGCTAACAACAACAACAACAAGATGTTTACCGCAGAGTTTTAGGTCCACTACATACAGTGAAAGCTCCGATAAATGGATGTATTACAAACGAAAATCTCTATTAGCCTCAAAAACTGTTTGTATAAATGTATTTAATTATTAAGAGCTGAATTGATGAATGTTATTCGTATAAGAACTACATATATACCATAGATCGTAGTGCACTATCCTTTTTCTCCATGATTATATTATACATATGTATATACCAACGGAACAAGTAATTCTGTCAGGTTATAAGAACTGTTCATTTAAAAGGACGTATTTTGTAAGAAAAATAAAAGTTCGCTTCCTTTTTGGGAACTAAAACAGCGCTTCACGAGAGATGTTCTTTTTTGCGAACGTCTCTATCTAACAAAACATTTATTGAATACCGAAGTCCATCTGTTTTTGAGTTTTCTTCTATCTTCTGCTTCAATATAGGTTTTGCTGCAAGTCTTAAGGTTGTTAAGAACAGCTTTATTAATAAAACATAGCTTAATAGAACAGGTTAAAAGGGTTAACAATAGTATGCAGACTACTTATTGGAATAAATGGAACTGTTTGACAATATTATGCAGATCACTTATTGGAATTAAAGAAATTAGTGAGTAACATTATTTATTACTCATACATTATACATAAAAAGAAGTAGAAGTAAGCTTTAATAAAAAAAAAACAAACCATTAACTATCATCAAATATTCTATTTGATCAAATATCAGATCACAGATGAAATATACTATTAAAGAACATCTCTAGGATGATTAGGTGTTCTAATCCTAATTCTATCCTAATAAGACTACGGCATTATCATGTCTAAATTATTACAAATAAGTACCATTTCTGGTTCTTTTTCTTAGCAACCATTAGCAAACGTTTGCTTCAAACGTTTGCAATATTGATTAGGAGCTTGCACCAGCTTATTCTGTTTACTTGATGCATGTGTAATTAACGAAAAAAATGATCTGCATACAGCGAAAGCAAGAAGAAGCAAGTTTCGATTCACCCCACTTACCATCGCAGTTGCATGACGCCAGTGCAGAACGATCCGTTAAGGCGACATGCTATTGTGATTGAGAATCGCGTTTATGTATAAATTAAAATAATAAATTCAAATTTATTAATTGAACAATTACTATTTGAATATAAAGTGCAATTAAAATAAAATTAAAAATACATTAATTTTAATTATAACAAATAAAAATATAGTTTTTAAACATAATTTATTTTGATTAAATTTAATCATTAATGTTATTAACAATACGTGCAATATAATTGATTTGCTACTTTTCGGTTAATGATTTTCTATATATGAAATTAATATTTATAATTTGTTAAATTAATAAAATCATTTATTAACAGTGGTATTATTTATTGTTTTGTGTTTTGTGTGAATATTTTATATTTTTTATAAGTGAAAACAATTTTTATTGGCGTCGTTTATAAAAATAACTGTTAACAATTCCCTTAGTTCATTTTCAACATAGTTTGGGGCAGCGCAGCGGCAGAATTTTAAATGACAGTAAATATATGTGATGTTACTGTTAACAATACCCTTAGTTCATTTTCAACATAGTTTGGAGCAGCGCAGCGGCAGAATTTGAAATGACAATAAATTGCTAAATTAATAAATTCATTTATTAAAAGTGATATTATTTATTGTTTTGTGTGAATATTTTATATTTTTTATAAGTGAACCCAATTTTTATTGGCGTCGTTTATAAAGGTAACTGTTAACAATTCCCTTAGTTCATTTTCAACATAGTTTGGGGCAGCGCAGCGGCAGAATTTTAAATGACAGTAAATATATGTGATGTTACTGTTAACAATACCCTTAGTTCATTTTCAACATAGTTTGGAGCAGCGCAGCGGCAGAATTTGAAATGACAATACATATATGACGTTGCAGGTTATGGTAAGGTAAGTCATTAAATATTTTAAAATATATATTTAAAATTTATTTTTAATTTAATTATTATTAAAAATAATATTAATAACAATATTTTATTAATATTTTCATAAAAATAAATTATATTCATATATTTTATAAATAAATTAATTTAATGAATTATTTTATTGTCTGTTGTGAACATATTTTTGTATAACTGTGGTGAAAAATGAAATGCCAATTGTGGGGACATTGCAGTAGAGTATAGAACCAATTTGGTGCTAATATTGTTGCACTGTCTTAAGATCCTATAATCAAACGTCTTTCGATATTGTCGTTGTCTTTATAACAAACTGTTTCTCTTACATACTAAATTTACTTCCAAAGAGAAACTTCTAAAAAATTTTGTTAAATTTATTATAGAAGTTCTGGTTTTCAGAACCTTTAAAGGTTCAAAGTTTAAGTTTATATACATATCTCTGACTTGTATAAAATATTACAATTCTTTTGATATACATGCGAATACATATACCTACATATTATTCCATTTATTAAAAAACATATATTAGGCATATTTTGCAAAAAAAGAAATCGAAGGTTAATAGTTCGTTTTTATATACATATGTATCTATACTCTCTGAATTGTATTGTAAGTTTTCTAGTGCACATACAAACATATTCCTTATATTAATATTCTACTTGAGCTATTTATAAAATAAACAATGATTTCGCATAAATTTGCATACATTTATATCTATTCATATATTATATATATATATATATATATTCATGTGTATTTAACATAGAGCAATTTGCGTGGAGTAAACTATTCTCGCCAGATATGTATATATATAGATAACACTTTAAATATATATAATATCTTCTCAATGAGTAATGTCTCTTTCAAAACAGATGTCACCTATTATAATTCCATTAACTTAGATTTTATTTTATTTTTTAATTAATATTGTTACTTAAACCATATGTTTTCTAGTTTTTTTTTGCAATATAATATATTCATGTTTTTTCTTGAAAATATTTTCATTTATGTACATATGTATGTACATATATAAGATGTGTTTTTAATTGCAACTAATTGCCGTCTCATGAACTGATAAATAACTTTTATTTTCTTATATTTTTTTTTTTGATAAGGTAAACAGTTGTTTTTGGAATAAATTAAAGATTCAGGGTGTGTGATAAGCACACACATATATGTATGTATGTATGTTTGTATAAAAATATGTGGAAATAAATAATTTTATATATTTATTAAAACATATTTGAATATTATTTATTAAATTGCGTATATATATTATTACATATATAAGCAATTACAAATATATAACTATATAGATAGGCAAATATATTTTTATAAATACTATATAGTATTATTATATAGATACGCAAGTCATCTAAATATATTTTTAACTTGTCAATATTTGCAGAAAAATATTGTAAAATTACATTCTGGCATATACATACATACATATATATTAAATTATATATGTATAATTAATTGGTACCTAAAATTTATTTACACTCAACAAAAAAAATTATTTGTTGTTGATTTTCATAATCTTCTCAAGATAAGCGCTTAAAAATAGTTTAAAAAAATAATTTATTTGGTCGTAGCTGTAGTTTTTGTTTTTTTTTTTTTGGAATATATCACATCGACACACACATACATAAATAATAATTGAAATTTCGCAATTTTTATGTAATAAAAAATGTACATTTAATTTAATTGCATTTGTAAATTTGTTGTTGACATTCGCAAAAACTAAATTTTTACCTTTGTGTACTGAATTTCTTGATTTGGATTTGCCATTTTGCTGTTTTTCTCGTTCTTTCAATATGAATATCACAAAAAAAAAAAAAATCAAAGCACCTCACGAATTCCGCAAAATCAGACACTGAACCGCCAAAATCGCTGTCAACCGTCTAACTGAATCCGTGCAGAAAAGATCTGTTATTTTATAGAAAAGAGCTTTCTGCTATCAGTAAATTTGTTTTTGCCGGCCGGCATTAGGGTTTGCGTGAAGCTAGAAAGATTTTGATAGAGAAAGTAGTAGATTTAAGATACGGCAAATTTTTTAAAGAAATTAAATTTGAACACAATTTTAAAACTAAATGGATTAAAAACAATAATATGAAAATAAATCATATACATTATAGATATTATATAGTACTATATATGTATATATACATTATATATAATATGAAAATAATATAATAATAATTAAATTACAAAATTATGTACAATATATATGTATAATAGATATTATATATATACATTATATATATTAGACATCATTTATAACTCATATGACTATAGAATAATGTAGTCTACTTTTTAAGGATTATGTGTGTGTTTATTTATACAGTTTTTTTACATAATTTTATAAAATAATATATAGTTTCTCTACATAATTTTATGTAATAAATTTATATCATATATAAAATTATATATAATAATTTACTCTTTTTTTTAAAAGCTTGTCATCTCTTTAATAAAAAGTTTTTATTAAAAAGCGTTTTTTAGGTTTCTGTGTATATGTTTTAATATTGTTTTTAGAAACAACTGTTTTTATTCAAACATTAAGAACTTAAAATTAAAGTCTATTTAATAGAGTGATAAAAATAAATTAAAAGTCATTTTTGACATATTAACTTAAAATTTTTTTGTATAGTTTTCTTATTCAAAATTTGGTTTGTTTTATGTCTTCTTCTAATAAATTCTGAGTAATTTTTTTACTCTCTTCAAAAATCAAGAGTACCGATATTTGCACAATATTTAAAGAAATTAATCGAAATTTACCAATTAAAATGATAAAACGAAATTACATAAAATTGTGAGTTAATTAAAAGTCAATTAAGAGTAAATTAAAAGTAAATTAACAATAAATTTAAAATAACTTCAAAATAAACTAAAAGTGAAATAAAAATAAATACTCTTGAAGAAGGAAAAAATATTAGAGTATTGTTTTAATTGTTTATAAACTGATTTAATATCCTTGAATGAAACAGAGCAAAGTGTTCGATTTCTCTAAAACATTTATTGATAATATCAACAAAATAATTATTTTTCTAATAAATATTTTATAATATGAACAAGTTCACTTTGCAACTGCAGTAAAAGAATTCTATTTTTGTTAAAGTACTTTAAAGTATTGTGAAATTAAATTAATCTATTCTGATTTATTAATCTAAATATGATATGGAAATAATAGCAACAAAATTATTAAGAGTTGATTAAGTGGTACCATTGAATATTTGATAATCTTAAAGTTAAATGTTATTTAATATTGATAAAAAAAAATCTGTTAACAAATCGTTAAGCATTCTTAAGATTGCATAGTATGAATATTTTTAATGATAGCGAATGAAAGTGAAATTTAGAATAAAATTAATGATATATATTCTTCCGTATCTAACATGCAACGCCTTCTGATTGACTTATCTTAAAAGCAATAACATTTGTACAAAGAAGTAGTACAAATAAATTTTTAAATCAGTTTAATAATATATATAAAGCTTACAGTTATGGCAATTTTATCTTCAGCCGGGGAAAAAGTATATGTATGTAATGTATATATAATTACAATATTTATATATATAATAATTGGATTATCGTACCACAAACATAGTTTTATTAGCGCAACAAAATAAGAACAACTAAGAATATTTACCAAATGTCATTTGTCTTCTAGTGTTGCAATCTTGGACCTATTTATTTAATAGCTAAAGGTGCATCCACACCAAAGCCACACTAAAACGCTAAGTGATCTATATTCATGTATATGAATTAAGTTTCTGTTTTTGAATTTCGTATATATTTGTCATGATACTCTTATAAATATTGGGAAGGTTGTAATAATTTGTTCTGTATATTGGACAAACTATTTTTATATAATATAGCAAAACGGGATTGTATGTTATGGCATATTTAATTTCCATCTTAATAGATGTTTCTTCACAAAGTTAAAATAGCTACTTATTCTTACAAAGTTTTTATAATCATAGCTTTAATATAATCTTTAAATATTGGCGAGTCCAACGATTTTTAGTTTGGACATTCTTCCTTTTAACCAGAAACAAGACATTAAAAATTTGTTTCTATATTGGACACGAATAAGTTATAAGTATGACTTCTTGGATATCAAGATGTTGTTAGTAGTATATATTATAATTAAGTAAATTATAGAAATTTTGAAAGAGAAATTTTGATCTGTTTCAGTAGAATATGAGAGTTTTTACCAAAACAGTTCGAAATTTACTTTGAAGTGGGTAAGTACATATTTTATTATTTTAATACATATATTTTTATACCTACGTTTATATTTGATATAATTAATATATTTATATGATTTCTTTAAACTTTTCTTCATTAATAATTATAGTTAAAAAATACAGACTTTTATTTCACTTTCAAAAAATAAAACTAAACTAATGGAAGTAATAACTCTATTGTGATAAAATCAAAGCTGATAAAGAAATTGTTGAAAAAACCATTTAAAACTTTAAAGTCTATTTAAAATTGAAAAAAAAAATGAATAAATGATTTAATTCAGCTTAGATTTATTTTCAAATATTTTTAATTTATCATATTCTATTGTGAATGCACCATTTTACTATAAAAGCTTTTCAATGGTTTTTGGTTTGTGTCTGGGTTGTAAAATTTAAAACAGAAATTGCCATTCACAATAGTTAGGAATATTTTAAAATTTTTATCATTTCTTATAAATTTTTGTCTCTTTGTTACTAACGACTAAAAATTGGCTTATAAATTATAGTTAATATGTTTAGTTTTATTTTAAATATGGTAAACATAATTATATAATTAATATTGTTTACGCTGATAAAAATAAAATAAATCTTTTAGTCAAGAAAACAAAACCAAACAAATTAATAATTAATTACATTAATAATATTTTAATAATAAATAATAATATAACAATAATATCTTATACATAATAATTAAACAGTATTTAGTTACAAGTCATTATTTGATATAAATCTGTTTCCTTCAGAATTGGTGCCTTTATAGATGCACTCTGAAACAGATAGTTTTCTTATTGTACCTAGACGACACGATATAAATTATTTTTATAAATAAAATTATTTAATTAATAATTATCTTACCACAATGTTGTCCATTATTTTCATTGTTATAATTCGGTAATGGATGTAGAGTTTTACTTGGCAGAAATCCCTTCATTTTTGCCCACAACATTTTCGGTGTAAATGTCAAAATGCGTGCTTGTTCTTGTGCCAAATCACTTGGAGAAATATGACGTAGTTGCGCAGAAGAATGATCCAGGAATTTAAGTTTATTAAAAGAATTTAAAATCACAGTTCTTAAAAAAAACTATAATTACTATAAATTCAATTCAGTTAATATTAATTTTTTATTACCTATAATAATCGTATTCGTAGGAAATATTATGGCAAAATGGCATCAACTCTAAACCATCTGGACAAATGGGATTGCCATGCAAACTCAGGTACTCCAGGTTCGGAAATAGTGAACTTAAAATATTAACTGTTGTATGAAGATCACTGAACTATAAATGAATAAGAAATAAATTAATATTAATTCTTTCTTAGTGATATTCTTCCTTACTTACATCATTTTTATTTAATATCAAAACTCGAAGACTTTCCATCGGCTTCTTGAGTTGACGAAAATGGCCCTCATGCAAACGATTGCTATCCAATATCAGCACTTTAAGGCGATCGAAGCGATAAATCCAATCTAACTTCGAAATGCGGTTGCGACTGAGGTCAAGGTACTCGGTACAGCCACCGTAGCCGTTGATAACATCTGTTGGTACTGCTTCTAAGTGCTGCTGCGTTAAGTTGAGCTGCGACGTTTAAGTTCCATATTTAAAATATTTTCATATTAAATAATATTGAAGATGAGTTGGAGTGCGATAAGATAAAAATAGTAGGTGTTAAAGTATTGTCACTTGCCTCTTTGGTTGCCTCATTGTATATTCCTGCCCTCGCGTTTTGTTCCATTTTCTTTAAGATTTTTTTATTTTGAAGAAAATTATTTTATTCAAAATTGTTATTATTCTCACTACATACTATTGTTTTTTTGTGTTCTTGCTATTTATTTTTAAATATATTTTTGAAGTTACATTTTATTTATTTTTATAATTTATTGCAATGCACGTCTGACACTGATTGTTGTTGTTCTCATCTGCGATCTCGTTTAACCGAAAATGTTTACCACAAAAGTGACTTTAGCATTGTGGAGCTTTTCTTGCGGTTGGCTGGTTTTGCATGCTACAGTCGGCAGTGCTGACACTCACATGTGTTAATAATTGTTAGTTTTGTATTTTATGTAGTCAACTAATCATTAAAAACAAAAAAACATATTTAATATAAAAGTTAGTGGTGTATATAAAGTAAACAGTTAACTAACCTATTATTTGGTACGCTACTGTTAAAACCTATGCACATGGAAAATCTTAATTTTATTTTAATTCTAATTCAAATTTTTTTATTTTATAGTTGCAGTCATATATGAAAATCCGGAATATTCGGTAAAATTTTGTTTCGTTTTTTCAATTGTTGGGGTAGAACCATAAAGAGTTTTAAAATTTGATCTTTAAAGTCAAATGTGATGAAAGTGACCTTTTTTTCATATAAACTATTGTATTAATAGATTTGTTTTGAACAGTAGAAAATGCAAACATTAAAATTTTCGTATTTTTAATTTCATTAATACCCCGATTTGTGTCGTTAATTAGGACCAACAAATTGCAACTCAAATCGAAACAATGCAAATCGAATCACATTTCTCCACACATTTAATTAACACAAATATTCTGGTTTTTGACCACTAATTGATGGAGAATTACTCATTGAATATCGACAATGAGCCTTATTCAGCCTTATTTTGAATCAACATTTGGCAACATTCTTCTTTGATTCTGATTTCCTATCCAAATGGTTAGGAGGGACTCCAATTTTCCAATTAATGAATTTTCAGTTTTTGTTTGGCCTACAAATATATGACGGCTTTTTCATAGTCCTTTGTATTGTCCGCATTACAATAGTAAATTGTTCTTACAGTAGTTGGAGCTCAATTCAAAAGCAGGTTTCCCAATGTATGCAAGTTTTTCTCCAAGTTTAAAACGTTTAAAAATGTCTGACTTTTATTCCAAAAAAATAGGTTTCGCTTTTGACTCATTTTTATACTTCATAAAGCAGAAATTTACCTTTCCACATTTTACTTAAAAACTTAATGAATGTAAAAATCCTTTGAAAAACTGTGAAATGTATTAAAAACAACGCAAATCGAAAGACTACCGACGAAATTCGAAGCTAAAACTTGTTTTTTTTTGGCGACGCAATTCGAATCAATGGAAATCGGGGTGACGCAAATCGGTGTGTTAGTCTAATTGAATTTTTTGCGGACCATGCAGGAGTTTCGAGTATTGCCAAATACCCATTACCATCAGTGGTCTTTTTGGAAATATTTTTTATATTTATTTATAATTTTTTGAGACTGCAAGTAACAAGGGTTGAACTTGCATCCTTCAAATTGAACGTGCAATTTGAAGCTGAGAATCAATGTTAATTAGCCAACTGAACCATAGTCATACTTTACTTGAGTGTTTTAACTTGAAGGTTTACTAATTTATTGTAAAAGTTTATTATCAAATTAACAAAAATAATTACGATTAATTAATTCGATTATTCTACAGTAGATTTATGATTTTGTAATAATATAACACAGCAAGTGAATTTAATATATTTTACGTATTCATTAACAATTGCGTATTGTTTAGCGTGTAATAAAATTCTCTAATACCTGCATAAAGCAAAAGCTCTTAATAACGAACTTTTTGTTTATTTTGGCAACAAGTGTGTAAATTAATGTGATGATTTAAAAATGATTCATAGATGGCGCATCAATCAGTAGAGAGTTCGGAAAAATTTAAAATAGAAATTATAAATTTTTCTTACAAATTTTTTTTTTGAATATACCTTAAAAAATGTTATTGTGAAACTAAGAATAATAAAGAATTTTATAAAAGAAATTTTATTATACACGTTGCGTAGTGGTGTGTCTGGTCTTTTCGGTGTCCAACTCATACGGATACCTGGGCACAAAGACATCTCGACAATTGTTAAATAAAAGAAATTGCTAAAACAGTCAAGTTCTAGAAAAACGTTCAATAAGACTTGGTCTACTTTTTAATGCCTGTCAAAGCAGTGAACTTGCGGATGAGTAGCAAATTGTACTTCACTTCTTGTCTTTCATGTTCATCATTGCCTAAGAGCAGTTTCAAAGACTTGAAAGTCTATTTTCTAACGGACTTGACAGAGCCGTCATCTTTAGAAATTAGGGACATAGTCAAATTCATAAACTTGTTAGATTGTTTCTCTTCTACTTCTATTTAGATGGAGGGATATTGCCAAGTTATAAAAATTTGTCAAAATTTTTCTATCTAATTAGATGGAAAAGTCGGAGCTTCTCAAAGGAATGGCGTGAGTGCATTCGATTCTTGGGGATTTTAACTTTAAGGAGACTTTTTAGATATGGCGTATAATCAGCGTCTCATACATGGTATTACTATCGGCCGTTATTTGTGCTTAAGTGATTTTGGTTTGCAAAACCTTAGGTAGGATGAGTCTCTCAGAAAACCATAGATTAGGTACTATTTAATTATTAAATTTTTCTTGTTATCTGGGTTGTATAATGTTCATGGTCAAATTGAGTGATAAACACAGGATGTTTTACGAGTATCATTATTGAGATATTTATATATCTCAAGGGGAGAACGTACCATACATCAAGTAGCCCCACTGAAGTGATGGATTAGCTAAAGTATATCATGAAATGACTTGGGTTCTTTTCGTTCATTGATTCTTGTATGCCGTTATTGAGTTAAAGCTTACATGGCTTCAGTTCGCATAACTACATCTCTTGTTATTGCAAACAGCTCATTTAGCTTGAAATTGCCTGTCAAATCATCACCAACCCAATGGTATCCCAAGACAGTCATCGTTCTGCTTGACAGTCAGTGCTGGATTTGGCACAATATATGCACCGCTATCTCCTTTTCTTTTAAGCAGAGTTTCCAAGTGTCTTCCTCAACAAAACTTAGCTTTTTGAGGTGATACTTGAAGTTTCCATGTCCACAGTAATCATTGACGTCAGCAGACTTAGGCTGCACTTTTATCGCTTCATTGGCCAACGGATTTGGTATCATCTACAAATGCTCATCTCTCACTCCACCTGTTAAGTTGAAGTGAAGCTATCCACTTATCGACATAGGCTGCAGTCTATGCTGTAGCCCAATGGTATTCTGCGTTCCTAAGATAATTCTTCTTTAAATAATTTTAGAGTAGTAAGAATCTAAAATGTATGTGATGAGTTTTATTTAGCAACGTTAATAGTTTATCTATCAACTCTTCTTTCATTACATAAATGTATACCTCGTGATTTGTTTAACCTTTAAAAGGTTTTTTCTTATATTAATTGATGCTGTTTGGTACTATCTGTCTAATAATTTTAGGTAAGCCTAGCCGAGGTATGTCTGTTATACATAAAGTATTATATGCTATGTTGTCATATATTTTCTTTAACTATTGTTATTTGTTTAAAGAAATGTATTAAATACATTTAAAAAAATATAATTAAAAAATAGTTATCTGTAAAGTATCGGTCATTGTTCTGTTAACATTTTATTCCCAGTTATGGATGCAAACCCAAAACGAAATAAGAGAAACCTCGTTTGTCGGTCTGTCATACTTGAATCCTTCAAATCTTTGTCGGACTTCTTTAATGTTACATTGACTTTAGATCCGAAATAGTTCAGCAAGATGTTATTGTAGTTTATCTAACTGACGGAAATGTATCCAGAGATTCATTGGAAACTATCAAGTGTTATTTATTTACTTTATATATAAAAAGCGTTAAAAGTTATTATGCAAATAACTGTGATTTAGTTAACTCATTCAAGTTTCTCACGTTCAAAAAGTAACTTGAATATTGCACAAAATTCAATCAAAGCTAACAAACAAAAAAATTTATAAAAAAGCGTATAAAAAATCCTTCAAAGTTATAAAAATAAAACTGCAAGTAATCCGAGATACCAAAGTAACTTTGAAATACCCAAGCAGAAAAAATAGATTTTTAATTGCCATTGAAAATTGAACGATATGCGAAATATGCTATTGACAGTCAAATTAACAAGCAAAAAAAAACAAATAAAATAAAAAATTTATGAAAAAGCACAGAAATGTTTAAAATTGTATTTACAATGATGGTTAATTGCACAGATACAAGATACAAGATACAAACGAGATCATTACAAGCGATTTGTAATTGAACACTAAGTGAAGAAAAAAAATCTGCATTAAGCATGAAATGCATACCACAAGTATTAAGATAAAAAACTCTTGTAATTGCAAGATATTTGCGTTTGATAAAGTATCTATAATTAAAATTAAAGTATCTGTAATGAATATATTCCCGAAATATTTCTGATGGATTTTTTAGTGGTTCATATTTGAGTTTAGAGTGTTTTCAAGTTTCCAACATCAATGGCCTTTTCAAATATTTTTTTTTAAAACATAATTCATATATATTTTTTTTTAACTACCAGGAATTAGAAGGAATGTCAGAACGGAATTATTCTTTATAAAAATATCTTAGCCTTGCTCGACGTCAATGATTTCGAGCAGCCTCTTATACTGGGCATAGGCT